CTGGCTTGGGCGGCGGGGACAGCGAGCCTGCTGCTGCCGTCACCCGGCTTGGCGGTGCCTTCGAATCCCAAACGAATTTAATAGACGTTGACCGTTTAGCAGGGAAGAGGCGGCTTTTCGTTCACCTCGGGGAGAATTAACGGGCCAAAGGTCTGTGTTAAAGCCCTTAAAATCATAAATACGGAAAGAAATATACATAAGGATAGAAATATAAATAGTATTAACCAATATATAGCCTATACACATAAATAATATTAACATAAATGGCAGGAATAGAAATATTGTTAGCTGTATGTTAAATAAGGATATAAATAATAGTATTCAACAATATGTAGCCTATATACATAAATAATAACATAAATGGCATCAATATAAATATTATTTGTTGTACGTTAAGTAAGGATATAAATATAAATAGTATTAAATGATTTGTAGCCTATATACATAAATAATATTAACATAAATGGCATCAATAGAAATATTGTTAGTTGTGTCTATAAATAATAGAAATATAAATAAAATTAACTTAGTCCCATAGTAACTGAAGGTAACTGGCCGAAGACTCACCGGGTGCGCCCAGTAACTGTACAGCATTTGATCTCGCTTGGTGTTTCACCGTTCTGGATTTTAAGGAAAGATCCATGAACCCTGTGTGGATGCCTTGGGGTTTTCCCCACCGAGTTTGATTTGTACGCTGGGCATATGACTTTTGGTTTGGATTCCACCGTTAAAAAGAAGGAGTGAGTAATGTTCATCATGGGCAAGGAAGGGTGTTAGTGCCAGCGGGGCAGGGGGGAAGGAGCAGGTTAAAGGAATTAAAGGAATTCTCCCCTTTGCCACACCCAGAGACCCGCTGGAATGAGCAGATGTTTCCCTCTGAACTCCGTGGTCAGGCCCCATGGGAGCAGAAGTTGTCCAATGCTGGGTGCTGAACACCCCTTCCTTTCCTTCACTACCTGGGAATGACTCTTTTTAAAGCAGATAATATTATATAAATTCTATGTGCGCACACACACACACACACACACACACACACAAAAAGATGATAAGTCGCAAGTAGATATTATAGCGTCATTTTTTCTCATTGTTTTTTCTCTTCTCTATCAGTGAGGGGCGAGTGTTACCCTTTGATAAACCCCTTCTGGCACGAGAATGCAAACATCACTGATTCCCACAGACAGCTTTTGTGTGAGTAACTTTTATATTGTTCCTGTCCTCCCATCCACCCCTCCCGCACTCCCTGGCCGCTTGCAAGGTCCCATTTCTGACTCAGAGGGGGAGCGCTTTGAGACAGTGTTTTGACTCTGCTTCTGTACAAGATCTGTCACTGTGTGTGGTTTCTGCAAGGGACTACTGTTGAGATAACCATCTATTTGTGGTCAAGTTCAGCTAATTTCTTCCGCAGGAGCAAGGTTTTTCTGCCTGGAGTGGCTCAGGAAGGTACACAATTGTTGAAATTGTTCAAAATCCCCTCAGAAGAGTTTAATCGCTGAAAATGCTCAAGCAGGCTTTTAAACTAATCTTTAAGACAGCTACTTATCTACCCTTTCAGTGGGATTCCTCGCACCAAAAAAAACCCTTAAGCATGCATGAATTTAAGAAAATAAATCAATGACTAAAAGCAGCGTTCAAAGTCTTTGAAGAACATCGTGTTCAAAAAGGTTACTGTAAGTTGCTCACTGTGTTTGTTGGTATTTACTTCTTTTTCTCTAGATTCATTTGTCAATGCCAGAATGTGTTCAGAAGGTCCAAACTAAACATTTTTAGATACTTTTAGGCTTTTCCTAAAAGACGATTTAACTTCTTTGCATCATATTCTGCACAATGCTTTGTTCCTGTATACTTGTATATGGGCTTGCTTTTTTTATTTTTTTTTTTTTTATTTACTTACCTCTTGTCTCCGACTCTGTCTGTTTTCCCCTCGCAAGCAGAGTATTTGTTCTGTGTCGTACAAGGGCCCTCTTTCCTTCGAAACCAGCCTTTTCCCTAAGCAATCCTTCAGAGGGGCTCTTGGAGCAGCATCTCATGATACAGCTAGAAGTGCAGAAAACACGGCAGAGTAAGCTTGTGAGGTCCTGATGCTGAGGTAGCTGTGTTGCAGCAGTAACTGGAAAGTAGGAGTTAGATCACAGTGGGCTGCTGAAACAGCCGTACACATTGACAGGTTCAAGGCTAACAGCACAAATTGTCTCCCTGTGCTTTCAAATTAAAAGGTGCCATTTCTTTAATCTTCCGTGCTTGAGACAGAGGGCCTTAGCTGCTTGATGTTGCTGAAAACTGTGAAGTTCAGTGAAAATGATTGTCTGCTGGATCACTTAAGCCTTGGAGGGTTCAAAGCTAATTGAACCTAAGAAGACTGATCAAGTTTTAAGTGTGGGCACCTCAACTATTATGCTGGGGACAGTCAAAATTTCAGGATACGATTATTAGCATTTCAGAAGTTGTGTTCGTGTTTGCAAAAGATACATCTGTAATTTTTCTTAGGTGAGTAGATTTTTGATTACAGCTCTTCACTGAAATCTGAATTCTGCAAAAACTAAAGCAGAGTCTATACAGGGCTCTTTTTGTTGTAAAAATGATGTTGGCTTGGAAACAAAGGACAGCTCTTAGGTACTCACAAAGTGTGAGAAAGTAGTGAATATGAGTAAAAGTTGGATTCATAACTATGTTTACAGACTCTTCAGAGCCTCAGAGAATTTTTTTTATCTCCTACTCTCATATCAAGTACTGTTTTTAGGTTCCTGGACAAAGACTTCAGGTCTGCAAAGACACTTGCAGATTTTATTATCAGCAAGCGTAGTCTGCCTAAAAATGATGAGATAAGAAATCAAAGATACTTTCGTTGAAAGAACCTACTAGGTTTGATTAGAATGTCGTACAGAGTGAACTTTTTGATATTTTAGATGTTCAATTTCAATGCAGTTTCACTGTGGTGAAGCTGCAGACCCACAGCAATAGCAGCTGAACACAGGAAGTGCCATGTCAGTACTTCTCACTTCTAGGAAACACAGATATTTCTAAGCGACCTCTAGGTTTGTTAAGTACTGAGATACTACCTCCTACTTCAGCCTTACACTTCTTTCTTGAATATTTTCTGACTGTGGTCACTGAATCATATTTAGGCAGACCAGGGCAAACCTTCATCTTCATTGACAACACATTTTAACTAGAATTTTAGAGGACAGTTCTGGGATCGTGGATTCCAGTGTAGTTACAGTAATTTCTCTATGTGTTGCTAGATGGGACAAACAAGCAAACTGCACAGCTTTAATCAGTTACTTCGAAACAAAGATTTTTTTTTTCTCTGTGTGTGCCTGTGCAGGTGTCTGTGTGAGGCACATTCACATGGAATTAATCTCATTCTGTCTAACTGTGCACCCATATTTCTCACTGTTTGATTGGCAGACTGAATTTCAGGAGCTCTGGCAACATCAGATGTGTTTCTTGCCCATTATTCCCAAAAAGATTTAGAGGGGCTGTCTCCTAATGCAGGCGCTTAAGTAACTCATGAGGAATGCCACAATGCTACAAGCAATACTACTCAGGCAGTCGACCTAGGTCTTGTTAAGTCTGAGAGTGTGATGTATTTTCACATCATGGGAGTACTCTTCAGTAATTTCTCCAATGGATTAGGTGTAAGCATGCCTTCTTCCATACGTTAAGCTTCCATTTCTTTTCTTACCACTCCCTGCAGCTGAACACATGGCCTATACCCTCTCTCTCCCTCAAACCCACAATGTATAAAATATTTTCCTACTACAGATTACGTTATGGCCTGGGTATAGGCTTGTTTAAAACATCAGCCACTGTCTAAAGAAAGATTCCACTCTACCATGTACTACTAGCTTTTCTGAAATTTCTGCATTTAAAAAATGCTTCTTTTTACTGGAGATATACATTTTACTCTGTCCCTTACAGGGTGAAAGTGTCGCTTTTCACAATTGAGACAGTTATTAGGGTCTCTTGGTGACCGCTAGGATTAAAGACAGTCCTCCGAAAGTCACCTTTGAAACCTGAAATGTGTCAGCAGAGACACGCCAGGCATCGTGTCTTGCCATGCGTTCTCCTACGCCTGCTATGGGAGACAAGCAGAAAGAGCAGCTTTTTTCATGATGAGCTGAATCCATCTCTCACAAAATGGTAAAAGAAGGGTGTCCCTCTGACTGAGTCACTCTGACTTCAAAGGAAGCTGCATCAGGAGTTCTGAGCAGCTTTGCCATTCTTCAGTAGAAGAAACATAACGTTCAAAGTCACATCTAAGATGTTGAGGGTCACATACAGAGAGGGGGAATTTGGTGCTAGAAGGAAAGGCAGTATTTAATCTACAGAAAAACTTCCCTCAAGAACTGCAGCTTTGTAAAATAATTTAGTTAAAAAGAAACAAACACCAAACGCTGCCCCCAACAAGTTACATTGGGAAAAGGTTACTCTTGAGTGCTTTTGTAATATAAGTAATTTTCATTTACCAAAGTCTCTATTGTTAATAATTAGTAAATACCAGTATAGATTTAGCTAAAGACAGTGTAATCCAGTGTAATCCCTGTAATCCAGTGTAATCCAGTGTAATCCCTGGAAAATGAACAATTTTGTAAATATTTCTAATCAAAATTAGTTTGTACTCTGGACTTGGTTCAAGTACTTGCAGGACAGATGAGCTGTCAAAAGAAGAAAGTAATGTGTTTGCTGGATTGTGATGTAGCCTGTCAAAACTCTCCTACGAGCTGGACGTTTTGGAAACCGAAGTGACCCGTTCCTGTGTGTCTCTGTTACGGCTGGATAGTGACCCCTGCTTGGGAACACAAGAATTACTTCCATCTACTGTCTATTCCTTCTACCATCTACTTCCACCTGCCGTCTGTTCTGAACTAAATGCTTTATGATTTGCTGTTT